TTGGAGACACCACAAACCTCACCATTGTTGACTGTTTTACCATATTCTCCAAAACCACAAGCTCCAGCTGATTAGTGGAACGAAAGAAACAAGGATTTAGGATCATAATTAACTGAAAAGAACATAAAAGTCCCGTAAAACGAGTGCTTGAATGTGGCAAAATCACAAGACAGTCATACTAAGTGGTGCTATTTCATACTCTAGAATTATATAAACTGCATATGCTTAGTAAGGACAGATGGAAATAAGTTACATACATGGAGTCCCCAAGGCACCAGCACTACCATAAAAAGTTGCCCGAGCGGATAAGAATACATCACCGCTGTAACAGGTAACTGGCAGTAGTACCAATATGCAGAGGAAAATGCAGCAGTGACTGAGTGCAAAAGTCATTTTTTCAATAATTATAGTATTGCTAACTGCAGAAAAATGGATTAATCTATACTACAGTATCAGCCAGGAAATGAGAATACGCTGAGTATGTATTGTGAAGTTGTGGGATGGACAAAAGGGTATTTATAGTAGGGGTCCTGACTCCTGAGGGCAGACGCAATGAGGAATGCTGCCACCTATATATCTTCCACTAGAGATTGTGGAAGCCAAGTGTGGATTAAGGAGCAGGTTACTTATTTTTCCAGAGAACTACTTTCGAATTCTAGAAACAGAATTGACTTCTGCGACTGGGGAAAATGATGATGAGGATTGGCGTGTTAATTAGTTTGTGGATTGATTCGTAATGCCTAATGGCTTTACAAATAGGTTTGCTCAATCTGTAGTACCTTTGCCATCTCTATCTTTCCACATGGAGCAAAATAAGCATTTCTTCCTCCAATTTAGGTATAATCTTGTTCCTAGTCCACGCGTGAACAAGTAAAGATGTGTGCACTTGATGGCCAAAGTATTTTTCTTTTCTCAAAAATACAGGAAAAAAGGTTTATACTTCAACCAAGCTTGTATATGGGGTCGGAAAAAATTTCATCTGACACAGAACCAGCAACTGATTGGCCTAATCAATCAATTGTTTCAGGTGAATCTCAATTTGAAGTCCAAGTGCAGTCGAGAATGTGCTACGTTGCATGTGGAAATTAGCATTTGCATTAATACAGATCGTGTTTTAAGGAATGTCCGCACTTGAGGACCTAAGATATGTAAAATCTTTGCTTGCTACAAATTTTACTCGTCAAAACTAATTTTCTCCCATAAAATTTAAGCCTTCTAGCGTTCAAATCTTCAGTAACCTTCCCTGTTAATTCAGTGTTTAGAGTTCATTTTTGCCTGTATGGCTTGTAATGTTAATTTCAACTTCTAGAAATTATCCACTCTAAAAATTGACAAAGTTTATCGTAGTATAAGCATTCATACCACCACCAGTAGAGAAAATAAACAACATAGACAGAATCTGACAACGAGCGATGACTATTGTGTATTATTTATTGGAATATACCTCGAAGAATTACTATCAAAACAAAAAATTTTTTAAAAAAAGCACGTTGTAATGGACGCAAGATCAGATTAATAGTACAATCTTCAGTCTCTCTTCTGCTGGAACTTCTGCCTAGCTTCCACCCTTAACTGCAGCAATTGGGCTCCTGACTGAGTATTTTGCCGATTTCCAGTTAAGAGATCCTTGAGACATGGTAATATTAGCCGATGCTGATGGGCTAAATGTGATTTCATATGTCAACTTCTCTTTCATCTTTGACAATCTGCAAGTGTACTTAGCTCCTGTCACATTAACAACTGCAGGTGGAATGATGTCAGGAGTGTATACTGAATTAGCCTCACCAACATTGGTTATCGTCCTACTATACTTACGAATTGCTGATCTATTGATTAATGGACGGGGATATAGAATATTATCCGTGGATGACACCCCAATGATGTAGATAAGCATGGAAATTAATCCCCAAAGATAGGATACATGAGTAGTTTATTATTGCAATATTTATGCATGCTAATACAGGTTTAGATAAGCAGCGACGATAAGACTTTTAATTAGTGCATTCTAATGCAGGTTGTGATAAGTAACGGCTATGAGACTTGCAACAACTGTTGTGCACTAGAAGTCCACGATATGTGTTTTGCTACGCGTATCTAATCAGATTAAGATTAAGACTCAAGAGACTTGACCAAGGTTATTATTAACTTCTTTTGGGCGATGATCGAGAATGATGCCATATCATGGCACCATAAAGTGCAAAATGAATTGACTATAAATGGTTATTGACTTTTTTATGTTTTGTCAATTAATTACTGTGGAATTCTCTAGTTGAGATGATGGAGGAGGAAATTTCTGATTTGCCTCCTAAAGGCTCTTCACTGGTTCATCCCCTCAATCCCCCATTTATATTGGTACTCAAAGAAAATTGAGAAAATCTGATTCAGTGATTCTTTGCTGTGCGTTTTGAGAGCGTTTGAACTCCAAATCCCAACATTAGGTTTCATCTGTTCTAGCCACGCCCTAGACAAGGATGTTGTTCTTGGTTCCCTGGCACCTTTTTTTTTTTTTCCAAAGATGGTTCCATGGCACTTGAAGATTAGCTTTGGCAGTTCACAAGAAAGCCCTTAGTTAAGATTGCATGAATATTTAACCTACTTCATGTAGTAACCAAAAAACTTCCTTGGGTTTTATCAGAAAGTTTTTCATTGTCACCAACTAAAAGCAAAGAACAAAGATGATGCATCAATTATAATCTGCTATGACTTTAGAAAAAAGGCAATTCAAGAACAACAGATTTTAAAGTAAATTAATGCCATACATTTTTACTCACCAGAACCATCTCATGATGATAATATACAAACTCCGACAGCGGTCCCTCATTGGCTGTCCATATCCTTTTGTAAACATGCGTCCTTGGAGCTGGTCCAACATACCTCTTGTCCTCCCAACCAAAAAGTTCTACAGCCTCATTGAACTCTTCAGCATTCTTCACATCAAATCCTCTCAGAAGAACAGCACTATTCTTGATGATCAATTGCTCAAACCACTCTTTGTTTTTCTTCAAAGCCCCTACTAATGATTCAAGACCATTCTTGCTTGCCTCTCGGGGTTGTAACATTAGTGGCATAGTTTCGCCATGTGCCAATTTTTGGCCCCACCTTAAACTCTTGGCTAGTGAACTCCATCTCTGGAAATTAAGGAAGGTATGCACACTTGATTTCTCACAGAATAAGCTAAATCCACAGCCGTGACTTTATGGCCCGCTTGCTCCAGCAAAGTCGCCAGCTTGTATCAACACCATGCTCCATGCCCGCCACACGGGATCCCTACACTTTTTCAGTGACAAGTCATGCCTTCATGCTCCATGCCCGCCAAGAGGAAGTGTAGGGTTATCCACGCGAGATCCTCAGTGTCACTTTTTCAGTGACAACTCAGTGTCACTTCTATATTTATGCCAAGTGTCCTATTTATTTAATTTGTCATGTGCTATTTATTTAAATTTCTTCTACCATCACGTGATAAGTGGTATTGGTACTGAATTTGGCACCGAGTAGTGGCATAGAGGATCCCAGCTGCGTTATGACTGCCTTTTTTTTTTTTTTTTTTCTCTCTCTCTTTCTGTATTACTGAATGTAATCTGATTTTCCAAAAATAACCCTCACCAATCAACGAGAGATGTAAAATTTGGTGGCGTTGCGGCGGAAGTCCTATATTAGAAAAGGAAAAATAGTTTAGAGACTGAATTGGTTAAACAAATATAAAGGACAAAATTGCTTTTCGATTAAAATTTCAGGGACAAAAATGGCGAATTTCCCTTGAATGTGCAATGAAGTAAGAATGGGGAAAGTAGGGATAATTTCAAAAATCTTTCTTGAAGTTTTGAAAATATCACAATAATTCAAACATTTTTGTAACATGTCAATCCTAATTTTAAAAAATTGAGAATAAAATATTAGTTTTAGGAAAGAGAATATATTTTAATCCCATAAATGCCCTTTAAACTTATAGTGTCATTAAATTTCTTCAAATCTTATCTTTGACTTAATTACCAATTATCCTTTTTGATTAGGGATTGATAGTAATCTGATCTATGTACTCGAGAAATACACACATACCTGGTGATGGCTAACAATCAAACACGTCGGGCAACCTTTAGCGTATGAAGGTTGTAAAATGATAATTATACGTTCAAGTAGTTAATTCTCGTCCTATCCTTGTGCTGCCAAACACTTGCAGTTTTCTTCATATTTCTTTTTTCTTTCTTCTGCGTCCACCACATATGCTCTTGTTTTCTTTTCTTTTCATGATAAATGTACAAAAGTTCACATTCCTAACCCAAGTTGTCCTCTTAGCTTTGACTAGATTAGCATGAAAATTACAGACTCAGGTATGACTGAATTGGTCGACGGGTTCACTTACTGACCATTTTTCTCTAAATAGTGGCAATTGCTATTTAGTATAATCACTCCCGAGTCCTTGTAGCATAGCATATGTATGGATATATAAAGTCATTGATTATCCCTTTCTCCGTTGCAGATAATACGCGAGAAGCCAAATCATGTTTGAATTAAATTATTTGTTCTAAATTGCCATCCTTCAAGACGGCGTTTCTTCCACTTTGCTTTCAATTACGTGCCCATATGGGTCGTATTAGTGTTGTTGCAGATAAATGCTTATTCTACTTTGTAAAGAATTTTGGACTGAAACGTGGTGGAAGCCCGTTAGTTGTTTTTTCCCCTTGATACTCTAGAATTTCTATTGATTTCAGTTTTTTTTCCCCTTACGAAGAGAAATCAGAAACCAAAAACCCAATTGATGAGATGGATTTGTTGAAATCTGAATGTCCGATGATCAACGTATTATTCATGGTACGTAGCTAAATTTACACCCAAATTATAAATATTACACTACGCTAAAAGCCATTTGCTTATTGACACTAATTGATGATGCAGCAAACACATATTTTTCGTATTTCTAGTGGCTTAATTGGGGGAGAGGAATTTGCTAAACTAGAAGATATCACATAACTAAAAGCGCTGGATAGCCAGTGATGATTTGCTCAAGTGAGCTGAATAGCTGTGTCATAAGCAACCCCAGCCTTCCATTCACTGGGGAGCACAGTGTTCGGCTGCACCCACTGCACCCCAGCACTGCCACTCACTTGGAACCTGAAGGCCAGTGTTCCCTTTGGAGGGTTAGCTATATCCCATACTGCGCCATATGCCCTTCGTAGACCCCTCCACTGCTTGCATGATTCCTGTATCAAACCAAAATATATATATATATATATATATATATGAGTTAAGTAGTAGCAAAAAAATAGTACTTTTGATTTGTACAGATTTAGCTGAGAAAGTTATATAAAATCCACAAATTTTACACTCTCAAACTGCTACGTGTACTTGTGACTTTGTGCGTCCTAGACTATAATCGTGACAAATTCATCAAAAGAGTCATCTCCAGAGTTGTGGGATCTGAATTGGATGCATCAAAAGAGAAAAGTAAAATGTAAATTTAGACATACTAAGTTAGTAACTATTAATTCGTTGCTCGAATTTTGTAGACGATATGTGTTGTATATACCTCATAGACTTCAACAGCGACGATGTCTGATGTACCACCCTGGTACAGTATTACTATGGCTAGGTAAAAGGGGTACTTGCTATGTTCATGAACTTTAACCAGGAGATTGTAGCCTGGATAACTGCAAGGAATTCTCCGATACTCGACTTCAATTACGCCGGCAGCAAACAGCTCTGCGACCACGTTTGGCTTGGCTAATTTGGCATAAGCCCGGACACTCAGGATGAAATCTGTGTCATGCCCTTGGCCATAGTCCGTCGCCACTACTTTGGTCCCCTCCTCACTGCAATATTGTGGATGCTTGCACCTAACCTGGAATGCAAATGTATCAGAGAGAAGTTACAGTCTAGTAGCAAATGAATTTCTTGACCATTTTTGCACGTAATGAATTCCTCAATTAACAAGAACTCAATTGACCATGTAGCCACGCTATTTCAGTTTTGTTTCTTTTTTATTTTTTCTGGTTATTTATTCACGTTTATTGCTGGAACATAGATGCCTACCTGATAGCATGCACCACAGCCACTGCCATTCCTGTACAGCCTAGAGACTCCACATACTTGAGCATTGTTTACCGTTCGCCCATATTCTCCGTATCCACAAGCTCCAACTGCAAATTAATCATGATATTATAATTAATTATCAATCTATTCTAGAGACCAATGTGTCCCTTAAATTGAAATGTACTTACATGGAGTCCCAAGGCAATCAGGGCTGCCATAATATGTTGCTCTGGTGGTTACATAGGCATCTTGGGCCAAGCACAATTCAGAGAGTAGTGCTAGCGTGAGTAAGAGAAGAAAATAGTGTTGAGGATTGAGAGCCATGCCTTTCCTTGAACAAAATCCTTAATAAAAGATGAATCAAGGTAGGAATCCTGAATGAAAAGGTCAACCAAGATGATCCACTATTTATACTTGAAGCGTCGTGTAGAGTCTTCCGGGAGGAGTATCCCACCAGGGCATTATCACTCGCCATTTATGCAAAATGGAATCCAGGTGGAGCTTGAGGAGAAGCAGTTGCTCAACTTTAGATGCATTACAGTAGTTTCCACATAAATTAGTGGCTGATTCATCCTAAGAATTTTGGACGAATAATCATTTCTTTCCTGGTGTAGATTTTGTTTCCCCAGCATGCAAGTTTAAGCAGGGCTTCCTCAACCGGATGTAGTGAGTTCAACTCACCCCAAAGAGAAAAAAAAAGAAGAGACTTTAGGGCTTCAGACTTTGGGCTCAAACTAACTACTTTAAAGTTCATACTCGAGTCACAAAATTAGTAAATTAAATTGGTTCAACCAAACGCATAATTATTTAGGTTTGATATTTGTGTACTATTATATAATTATCTATAAATTATCGATTTTTTTAAGTTATAATACGTATAAAATTACACACACAAACTCTCTCTCTCACACACACTCTTAAATACACAATTATTTAGGTTGGGTTTTAATTGAGCTGTGTTTACTAAGGTCCAGACTCGACTCATATTTAATTTGGGTCTAATATTTAGATCTAAATGCTATTCTATCTAGTTAAATATAAGACTCAATCTTATTGTTTCGGCCTGAATCTGAGATAGCCCAGCTCTGTTAACAATCCTAGATCATTTGAGTAGTTTCTAAGGTAAGGCAAATACTAAAATAACTAATATGTTAGAGCGCTTGTGAATAATAGTGTAATTCATGAAAAGATTTGAAATGGGGTACCAAATATTGGTTGAATTGGAATCAATTGACGATATCACAGCCTATATATTCGCCAAATAAATTGATTACATTAGAACACTCGTTTTAGTTTATTGCTATATATTTGGAACGACAGCACTCACGATAAAAATTTACTTGGACCAGAAAATTTGCAGTGAAATTGCATTTGGACCATGTATTAGATGTTTCTGTTTTGTAAATCAATATTGGTACTTTTCTGCATAAATATACAGCTTGAAGATACAATTTCTAGAAGAACGTAAACATGCAAGCAACAGTAGAATAGATCATTATTGGCAGACGAAACACTGGCAGATTAACACCTGTATTCATTGACCTCCCAACTGGTAATCTCTCAGGATTGCAGGTTTATTACGCACGCACTACAATTAGTGCTTTCGTTTTCAAACCAAAATGCTGTAAGGTTGTAAACAACTGGATCGGATTAACCTAGTAGCAAATCGTCTTTAATTTGACATATAATTGAACTGACTGACCAAGTGCTATAAAGATCAGGTAATGGCTGTAGATCGAACTGAAAGGAAAAAACTTTGCGAGTCTAAGTAAGAGCAAAGTGTTATTTCTGTACCAAAAAATGGCGTTTGGATATTTTCCTCAGTATTGGGTTGTTGCCTACTGATTTTTGCCGTCCATTTGGCCTTCTCAAGACCAAGTGCATTTTACAGTGCTCATCATTCAATTGCTAAGTGTCGAAGTATTGTGGTTCTGTATAGTCTATCCTGATTTCCACTTCTAGGTACTAGTGCTGCTATACACGGTAATTAACAAAATGGCCCAAAGGCACCTCAAACTCTCATGCTATTTGTCTAATATTATCTTGTCAAAGGGTTCCGGACACCCGTAAAGATGTATTTCAAATGTTAATTTTTTTGAAAGGTAAAAATAATGAGGGAAAATATATAAATATAAGAAAGGATAGTAATTATGTGTATGTACTTAATAAATTAGGTGGAATATAGTTGAGTACCCAATTAAAAAGAAAACCCCTTGTTTAGAACAGCTATTCAATCAAAGAAAGGTAAAGAACAAAGGCCGCGAAGTGAAATTAAGTAGAGGGTGAATGACGAAGGGCCAAAGGGTATCTTGTGCTTAATTGTAGAGCTTGTATCTGCCAATCTAGCCATAATTCCAAATTCTTAGGCATAAAATAAAATACAAAGTTGTCGTTTAGATTTCGCATTCCGATATCTGAATTCTACATCTTATCAAGTGTTTGAATTTTTGTCATTCTACCTTAACTGTTTGGTTTGGACCATAATGGTTTCATTCAACTAATGAGTTACGTGAGGAATTATAGAGAGAAAAAATCTAATATTTTCATGCGATTAAATATAATTTCCATGGTAGTCTACCAAATTATAGGCATAGGCGTCATTGATTGTAATGCCCATTCTTGACCTTGAAACCCATTGAAGGATAAGTATGACGGATAAGTATACTATCTACACCTCACTCAACATTATAAATAACAACCAACGCTTTCAAGTGGAAGAGTACAACCTTGAATGTAAGTCATTTAGTCTCATAATGGTTTGTTGTCAACATCTTTCCTTACATTAATTCCAAATCAAGATGTGTAAGAGTACTCTTTGGGGTCTCATTAGCCATATTGAGTGGTATATGTGGAGAAAATTCTCGTACATGTGGGCACAACAATACTGAAGAAAGAAAAGATTGTGAGTGAGATAAATCATAAAAGAGAGATGGGTTCAACTTCAAGAAGCTTATTCTCATCAATCTTCCTTTCACTTGTTTTTCTCTTATATTGCTCTACTGTATTGGCAAAATCAAGTAAAAAGGGAACAAATGATCGGTGAATTCTCTCATCTACACTAAAAAAAAAAGGACAGAGTTTCTCTCTCTCTGTCTCTCTCTTTTTATGCTATTACAATGAACAGGCAACAGTAGGGGTAATGCAGACAAATTACGACTCAAACAAGATAAGAGTTTCTCCACTGCACTAATTTCTGTTGCTATCTTAAGTTATTAATTTCATTAAAAGAATGGCATGCTAAAAGGGATAATTCTAGACGTCTCCTCTGATATACATTAAGATTTCATTCAACACCTTGAGATTTTCAATATTGCACTTTCCTCTCTAATAAATTATTCTGTTCTATCAACGATTCCACCAAAGGAGCTCATATGTTGAAATTCAAGGGAAGAGAGCCAAGTAATTAACAGATGCGGTAATGAAAGCACTAAACCACGGTGGCTACTGAACTGTGCAGCTCATCAGCTTAACCATGGTATCATTGAGCAATTTTGCCAAAGGATATTTGACATAAGCATGATTTTAGATAATAAGTAATTTAAAGCACTAAACATTAACTAGATACTTCTCCACCGACCGGATATTCTAAGATTTTAGTGCTTTTTGCAAGTTCTTGGACAAAATATAAAGGAGTTGTTTGGTTCAACTTTCTTGCATTTCTCTACTCTAACAAGTAGCAGCTGAAGGTATTTGCTTAGACTCCCAAGCGTCTTCCTTTTATTTTAGTCCATGACCATTGCCTGATCTTTATAGCACTTGGCAATTTAATTCAATTATATGCCAAACAACTCCTTTAAGTAAAAGGGAGTCTAAGGTCCTATATGATAATTTAATTTAGCGGTTAAATTTATTGGGTTCAAATCTTAGCATGTTCCGATGCATTTGATAATAAAAAATAGAACATCTAACTTAATTAAGTAGTAATGAATTTTTCAGGCAAAACTTGCTTAAAAAAATTAGTGATAAGTTTAAAATGACATACACTCAAATGTATCAGATTTAGTACTTAATAATTCAATAACTTAATGAATTAAGATTTCAAATTTCGAATTTCAATTTTCAAATTTCAATTTTATTAAACACGTCCTAAGTTTGAAGCGGAAATTTTAGAAATACTAGTACTGGGTTTGTTTAGATAGGGTATTGTTTGAAATATTATTTGGAATAATTACTGTAGCACTTTTTGTGATGTGATGTATGTGAGATAAAAAGATAATTGGGAAGATAAAAAACTGTATTGAAAATTATAATGGTGATGTCAGCAAATATAGTTGACCAAATAATCTACTGCCCAAACAAACCCTAAGTTCACGTAATGGGGTACAAAATGTGAACTTAGTATTGATGGGATGGCCTCTTTTCTCTATTTCCGTGATTGCAAAGAATCTATGGGTTTGTTTCGATAGAGTATTATTTGAAATAATTACTGTAGCACTTTTTGTGATGTGATGTATGTGAGATAAAAAGATAATTGAAAATATAAAAAGGTGGATTGAGAAATGTGTTTATGATGCAAGTGAAAAGTATGTATGTACTTTATTCTCATTCTTTACAGCACTATAGTATATCATTTTTTCCTTTTAACAGATGCTCAGTAGATGTGCATTAGCACACTTAAATCATAACCAAATTACAATGTGAATATACACAATAACAATTATTACCTTACGCTATATTTATTCACTTACTCAACTTTCAATTTTCAAAATCTTAACACCTATTCATATTCTAACAATTAAAAGGTCAAAGTTATCCTATTATTCGTGAAACCTTTGGAAAGAAAATATAAGTTTAAGGGAAAGTTATCTATAAGTTTATATGGTAATAGATCTATGTACTTTATTCTCATTCTTTACAGGGCTATAGTATAATTTTTTTTCCTTTTAACGGGTGCTCAGTAGATGTGCACTGGCACATTTAAATCATAACCAAATTACAATGTGAATATACAAAATAACAATTATTACCTTACGCTATATTTATGCACTTACTCAACTTTCATTTTTCAAAATCTTTGAATTTTTTTTTTTACCTTTTAACGGGTGCTCAGTAGATGTGCATTAGCACATTTAAATCATAACCAAATTACAATGTGAATATATACAATAACAATTATTACCTTACGCTATATTTATTCACTTACTCAACTTTCATTTTTCAAAATCTTAACACCTACCCTCCATCTTAGGCACTTGGGCCCTAATCAATGTATGTATTTTATTTTCATTCATTACGCTATTCATGACACGCAACTAACTGCTATATGTTCTGCCTTTCCCAGAGCTAAAAGGGTGTAAAGATAAGGAGACCTACTCCTATAAATTGGACAGCCAGTTTTGTGCAAAAACAAGAATCGGCTATCATTTCCACAACAATTTTGTCTCAATGGCAAAATCAACTGCCATAAATCTTGGAACTATGTTTTTACTTCTGCATTTGGCAATTCTACCGAGCCAAGTCATGCCTTCTACACAATCTATTGGTAGGAATATCATTCTCCCTCTTTAGTTAAATGTATCGTAATTCTTATTCTAATGTTCTTTATCCCTTCTTGCCTATGATAGGGACTGGGCAATTTTGCCCAACTGAATTCAAGAAAGACGGTGGGTGCGGAACAACTGGCGATCAAGACTGTTTTAATATAGGGAAAGAGATTTTTCCACCGTTCCTTTATTTGCTTCGAGACTGTCATTGTGCACCTTATACGGCTAGCAAAAGCAGTTGTCATTGCAAAATAATTTGTCAACCAACTTAATTGCCAAAGCAATGGCAAGAGAATACTATTTGAAACTTCATTCCTTATAAAGTTTGTGGGCTTTTGTTCTTTACAGATTGTTTTGGTTTCGATGTGCAGTTGGGCTGAATATCTCGTTCATTCTTTTGTATGATTTCTTTTCCAACATGATTTCAAATCTTAGTATATGCAAACGCGTTTGATAATAAAAAATAAAACATCTGACTTAATTAAATGGTAATAAATTTTCTAAGCAAAACTTATTTTAAAAAATAAGTAATAAACTATTTACTTATCATTTAGTATGATATACACTTAAATGTATCAGATTAGTATTTAACAATTTAATAACTTAATGAATTCAGATTTTAGACTTTGAATTTCAGTTTTCAAATTTTAGTTGGGAAATTTGCCAAATTGGTCCCTAAAATTTTTCAAAAAAACTTTTTTAGTCCCTAACATTTAAATTCAGCTAAAATTGTTCCTAACATTTAAATTATGATCCATTTTGGTCTTAATGCTTGTATTTGCTAATTTTTCCGACTGAAAATAGCCTGCCTCTCTCATGTGGGCATATTTCAAGGGTAAAATCGAAAAACACACTTCATTTCTGGTTGAGTAAAGCTATCTTTTCTTCATATTTCCCTATTTGTGTCCTAATTACCTCACTAAAAGAACAAAATTGAAGAGGAAAAATGTAGCTGCAACTAGACGGCTGTGTAATGGAGGAAGAATAGCAAGAAAATCTAAAGAAGAAGCTGACATTTTGATCCAAGTACTTGTTGGCCAAATATGTCACACTTACCAGTAGGGCTGTCAACGGGCCGGGTCCGGGTCGAAATTCATTATTCCGGACCCGGACCCGAATTACTATACCGGATCCGGATTCGACCCGTTTATCCAACGGGTCTTTTATTCTATGTTCCGGATCCGGGTCTACCCGAACAAATTTACCAAAATTTATAATTTCTAATAAAAATGAGAAAAAAATATATTTGTAAACTAATTTCTAACTAATGCAAAGAAAAAACCAAATAAGAAAAGAAATCAAATTAACTTTATTAAAATACATCACCCTAATCAAATTATATTGATAAATATATATTTTTTAAATTATTAATTCATTTATATCCGGATCCGGGTCTAATACGGGTCGGAATACTATATTCCGTATCCGACCTGTTTTTTTGTTTGACAAAACGGATCCGGATCCGGGAAACGGAATTAAATCCCTACCCATACCCACAATAATTTCACGAATTCGATCCGGATCCGGGTTTAGACCCGACCCGTTGACAGGCCTACTTACCAGGCCAGTAGTAGAGACAATGTTCAAAGCTTTCTTCACTACCACCGCGAAATAACCACCAGCATCGACAGTCTCTACCCGCACCTCCCACCACCTCTAACTCCGCCGCATCACTTCCCACCCCTGTATCCTCATCTTCCTTCCTCCCTTCTCCCTCTTCATTTGCAATTCTTGTTCCGTCCCCACTAGCATGCAATTGACCTAGCCCCTGCTTTCTCAACCAATTTTCCAACTTCATTTGGCCCCGTCTTCTCAATCAACCTGGCCGCCCACCTAATCACCTCATAGGGCACTATCTAACCACCAATAAAACCATTGTCATAAAAAATCCAAGCTTTGGAGCCTTGGCTATACTTGCCTTTGCCTCCTAGGGCTCTAATTGAGCCTGACTCATATTACTAGCTGTAACAGTAGCGCCGCCCTCTTTCCCCTCTCCTGCCTCAAATTGAGAGTTATGTAATGAATTTTTTATTAGCAATGTGTTTAATATGTCAGCTTCTTCTTCATATTTTCACTGAGAAAATATGAAGGAAAACCGGAAATGAAGTGTGTTTTCAATATTTGCCCTTGAAAATATGCCCACATGAGAGAGGCGTGCTATTTTCAGTTGGAGAAATGAGTAAATACGAGCATTAGAACCAAAATGGATCATAATTTAAATGTTAGGGACAATTCTGACTGATTTTAAATATTAGAGACTAAAAAAGTTTTTTGGCAAATGTTAGGAACCAATTTGACAAATTTCCCATTTTAGTTTTATTAAATGCGTCCTAACTCCTAAGTTGGAAGTGGAAATTTTAGAAATACTAAGTTTACACAATGGAGTACGAAACGTGTAATTATGGACCTGGCCCATGCCCGCAGATGGATTGGAACTGATTTGGGTTCATTAACTGGGTTTGGGTTAGTATTAGCATATTACTCATACATGTCCACCTAAATTTTATAAATAGTCATTCTATTCCAAAATTTTTTTTCTGTTCATTTTTATGCTTCCTTTCGATAGAATTCAATGTAGGCTAAAATGGTATCCATGTAAACACAAGATTGTAAAATTTCTCCTAAATTACTTTTCTTTTGTTAATTTTTAATAATTTGATTTAATAATAAGTTCATTATCTATTAGTTTGCTTTAAAAAAAATTTTTGGTGGCAAAAAAATCAAACATTAAGTGCATTTATTTCCTAATAAATCTTCTTTATTATATGTTGACATGCCACCATTAATTAGAGTAAACATAATTGAATCATGGGATAAGATTCTATTGAAACTAATTATTAAGTTAATATGAATTAACTATTTTTAATCTATTGAATTTAAATATTTGTCTTACAGTTATTATATTAAATTTTATAAAATAGTATTTTTAGGTTATTTTATATCAATTTTTATTCAAAAAATAAAAACTTTAGAACATAAAAAGTGCCGTGTAAATGCCCGGGTGAAGCACTAGTATACTTAATTAAATTGGTATTTCTTTCTCTTATGTTGGACGAAGATATTCTTCTACTGTTTAGTTTGAGTACATCAATGGTTCATGCACAATGGCTTCGTTCTAGGAGGAATTTTTTTAAATTAAAATTCATAACTTTTGTTCTTAAAACCAGTTACGTTTTTTTTTCAGTTACTTGTAAAAGATACCAAAGACTTATTTTAGGAGACAAAATTTAATGAAACTCCTAATTTTCTTTTCTACATTGATGGGGCCACTTTTTTTTTTTTTCTATTTCTGTGAGTTTTGCGAGCCACAAAAAAGAAGGATTAGATTACTTACATGTACTATACAGATAGTGATTGGAAATCATCCGAGTTAAAAAGGAAGAAAGATTTTTGTTTTTTTAAAGATCGACACTCATTATTTCACTTAAATTACACATAATTTATTATGTGAATACATTCACTCATATTTAATCCGCCCGACAATTTTCTAAATTAATTTAACTTTTTGTCAAAAATTAATATGTAAGACCCTCTTAACGAATGTCCTAATGACGCCTGTTAGCCTAACCCAAAGAAGACAACTGCAAGTAGCTCCTCCAATTTACAAATTTACAATTTCAGCACCAAACAAATATTACAGAAAGAAATATATATGTGTAGCAAGAATAAATCTTGAATATCATGCTTCTACTTAATTAACAAAGTACAAGAACATGTTTAGTTATAGTAAAATGTTGAAGAAGCGCTTGATTATTTTGGATGGTGTTTGCATGCATAATTACACATAGAGTTCAATGTCATTGAGCTCTAATTAAGAGGAAATGCCAGTGTTATAAGTGAGTCCAGCTTCCCAGTCTGTTGGAAGCACATTATCTAGTTGCACCCAATAATTGTAGTCTGCAGAGACAGTCACTAGGAACCTCAAGGTCAAGGCTCCTAGTGGTGGATTTGTTATGTCATATACAGCTCCATAGGCTCTATGCATTGGTTTCCATTCATTGCTTTCCTCCTAACCCAAAAGGACAAAGCAAATTAAAAGTATGCAGGGATTAAAAGGGTAATGATCTATAGAAAATTAATCTTCAGTTTTTTTTTTTTTTTTAAATTGTAGATCTTTAACTGGAGAGACTTTTAGGATGTCGTAATTTTTGAAATTTTCCATGGGACAAAAGCACAGTAAGGGGCAACTGGCACATTTAATCCTAACAACCTTGTTGGACATGATGCATAATTGCATATTCCCATTGATACTCCATAATTTGATTCAAACTCTGTTGTTGATGAAAATTCTAGAATTTGTTGAAGAAATGCAAAACAAGTAAGATAAAACCTTTTTTCTTTTGAACTTTCTAAAGCGCAATCAAAATTTAGTGACATGCGTTAAGGTTTGAGTCAATTACAATAGTCCCACTTAGTTTATTCGAATTAAGATTGTGTAGTTTTCTTAAGCCTTAATTTTTACCTGCCAGACTTGGAATGCAGTGATATCATCTGCACCAGGCAAGAACAACAACAACACGGCCAAGTAAACAGGATACTTGCTAGTCTCGTGGACTTTTAGAAGCAAATCGGCATCATAGAGACATGGGATTCTATTGTATTCTACCCCAATTACTCCATATGAGAAGAGCTTTGAAGCCGTATCTGGAAGTGCCATTTCTGCAAATGCATTTTGACTCAAGACAAAGTCTGCAATATGTGCACCTTCACCATGATCTGTTACCACCACCGTGGTTCCATCCTCACTGCAGTAAAGTGGTACCTTGCACTTGACCTGAAACGAAAAAAAGGAAGTAGTAATTGGGAATATGTTTTAGGATTAAGAAATTGTCTGTTCTTGCTAGAGAAGATTAACCTGATAACATGCTCCGCAACCAGCTCCATTTCTGTAGAGCTTGGAAACTCCAGTAACTCGACCACCATTGATTTTACGCCCATATTCTCCATATCCACAAGCTCCAGCTGATTCATTCAACCACAGGACTAATACTTATTTTCTGTAACAACTGAGGTTTGTGGACAATGATCCGCAATGTAAATAATAGCATTCTGAAGCTGAAAATAAATTTCTGTACAATAACGTTATATATAAGGTGATTAAATGAGATGAAGCATACTTGGAGTTCCAAAGCCATCAGAGGACTTATAATAGGTTGCTCTTGAGACAATTCCTTGGCTGTGGGATTCTGCAACCAAAAGCAGCAGAATACTCGAAAACAAACAACTTTTGCAAAGAATGGATGAACCCATGTTACATTCCATATTAATTTGTCCAATCACAGTCTGGGTTCAATTAAAGCCAATTGTATTTGGGATGAAAGTTCAGAAATAAGAAGCCAACCCTTATACTTTAAAATTGAACTCTTCAGAGAAACTTAGCAATGTAACTAAACCTTATCTGAACATCAAAGCAAATTGGCCTTGGAAGGTGTTAACTTACCAGCATTGTAATTACGCTGCATAAAGCACTAAAATCTTAGAATATTGGGTTGGTGGAAAAGTACATTATCCACTTACTAGTGTTTAGTGCTTTGAATTGCAAAATATCTCAAATCATGATAGAATTTCATTTTGCAAACTGCTGAATGATGTCACCGTTACGCTGATGAGCTGCATATACACTTAAGTAATTATGATTGTTTCGTTTCCACTTGTTACTTGTCTCTTTCCCCACTTTCAATTTTACCAGATTTCTAACCAGCCACTGGACCATCCCATGCATTAAGCCGCTCAAACAATTTCTCATGATTCAAAGTTTTCTTTCTTTTATGAAAAGAAACAAATTTAACATGAATTAAGGTGTTAATTCTTATTGATTAGACACACAATGAGATATAGTGCTCTGCAGTAACACTGTGATTATGTACAGTTCGGGACAGCTAGATCTGATTTGAATTGAAATTCCTAGCAAACCCTTAAAAGTGGACCTCAGACCATTGCACTCAATGCATTTGGACAAGGCATATGACACGTATTTGTCCTCGAACTTAAATTATTTTAGGTCCTGATTACACAAATACGGTGTTCAATGTCATTGAGATTTAATCAAGAGAGGAAATGCCGGTATCATACGGAATTCCAGCATCCCAATTACTTGGGAGCACATTATTTAGTTGCACCTAGTAATTGTGGTCTGCAGAGGCAGTCACTTGGAACCTCAACGTCAGGGCTCCTGGATATGGGTTTGATATGTCAAATACAGCTCCATAGGCTCTGTTCATTGGCTTCCATTCAATAGTTTCCTCCTGAACCAAAAGCAGAGGCAAATATGAAAGTAGGTGAACATTAGTAGGGCAATTATATATAGAGAATTAACATTCAGTTTCTGATTTTGCTTTGTAGAACTTATATATCTTAGCTACTCTTACAATGTCTCGGTCTCGGCTGAGTCATCGTCGGAGTGGGACTTTCTATTCTGATACCAGGACGAGATGACTCCGACTTAATGGATCGCCGAGAACTCGATCGAGACGTCTCTGAGATGGATAGAAACGGTCGAGTCACCCGAGTTATCTCAAATCAACTCAAATTTTTATTAGTTTTGTTTATCATATTTTTTTTACAATTTTTAGAATATTAAATATTCCAAAAATTTACGTCTTATCGAAATCACGACCAATATGCTGAGATTAATGTAGAAAGGTCTGCACAACGACCGCGACTTTGAATTATGCTTACAACAGCTACTCTTACAATGTGATGACTTTCGCTAATTTCCTAAGACAAAAGGGCACAAAGGGCAACTGGCACTTTAATTACAACCATTGTAATTGTGAGACCTTTATTAATTTTTTTACTTAGGAATAAAGGGTCGGCACTAAAATACCATAATAGTGTTTGGTACGTTAAATTACTTAAATATCTACTGATGATTATGCTGTATAGTTCACTAATTATTCTTTGCCACTTGTAATCTGTCTCTGCCGGTGGAGTTCCTAAGATGAGGATTGTCACATTAAGCCACTTTAAGAAAGTTGTCTCATGACAAAGACTTTTCCGAAAAATGCAAAAGTAACAATTGTTTACCATTCATATTAATCACAAACACAATAATGTGATTGTAACACTTGTGATGATGCACTTCTATCAAGCAGCCTCTGTCATCAGTCAACTTTCCATTTCATAATCTTGCAGACTTTCGTGCAGCAAATTCACCTCCGGTCTCTACCCAAGTTCAACAGGATTGTCTTTGATAGTCTGCATGCCCCACCTGCACCTCATTTTAAGATCAATTTTGCTGCTTCTGTTTCCACGTGCTCAAAGGTTTTTGGTCTTGGGAGTCCTCATTCGCAGCCACGAAGGTGCGTTCATTGCCAGTTTACTGTCTAAGAACTAAGCGACATGAGGGCCTTGTGAAAGCAGAACTAGTCGAAGCTTTATATATCTAAAGAAGCGGTCTATCTTGCCAAGACTCTTAAGGATTCCAATTTCCAAGCTTTATCTTGCAGGGTGACACGTCCTCGGCAATCAAGCTTATTAGCGATAAAGACGACATTCTATCTACTAGAATAGACTCGATAGGTGAATGGACTAAACCTGTCGTCGATATGTACAGAAATGGAAATGTTTGTTTTTTTTTTTCTTCCGCCCCCAAATGTAGAAGAACAACTTGACAATTTAAAGGGCCTAAGAGTATCTTATACTGAATTACACCAAGAAAAAGAAAAGCAACATGAATTACACGAAGAAATCCCTTGGCTCTCCTGCTCTTATATCTAAATTGCATTATATGAGATCAAAATCATTTACTACATAATGGGAAAAAGAGGTTAATTCTGACGTTCAAAAGCTGGGTTGATGCTTCCCATGTACTGCCCAGAAAACTTCATTTTTTTTTTTAAAAAAAATTCAATTTCATTCTTAGAAAAAGCATTAAAAATTATTTCATTCGTTACCTGGCCATTCGGTGCTTGGCAGGCATTCACAGAGAGTTTGAGGAGGGCGATTTTGATTTTGAATTTTTTTTGTGCTCTCAACTGTTTATTTAATTCTTGACTTTGATTTTTTTTTTTTTCTTGGTAGCCTAAAAAATTTGAAAATTAGAAATATCTATCTTTGGTGGTTTTTTTTTCTTAAAAAAAAAAAAATCCTGACTCAGTTTTTACATAATCAGGAGCATTTGAGAACAAGGTCATAGTACAGTAAAATAAAACACACTTAGTTATTTATAGAATCACTTCACAGATTAGATTTTATTTATGATATCCATGGTTACTAACAAAGACGTACAGCTGGGGAGATTTATACATGCCCTAAAAGAACCATATATATGTGAGGGGCATGGTCTCTGAAACAGCGTTACAAAACAGTACACAGTGAAAACATCCTGCAGCAATACCATATATGTATGAGGGTTATGGTCTCTGAAACAGCAGTACAAAACAGTACACAAGTGAAAACATCCAACAGCAATACTACGTACTACTCCAAAAGCAGCTCATAAGTTGTGGCTGCAGAGACGGATCATACGTACGATAATCCTGAGTTTCTGAGAGATTAAACTATCATGCTGGAATCTCAATCTCATACGCGTGTCCAGCTTTCCAGTCACTAGGGATCACTTCGTTCAATTGCACCCAAGACTCGGGATCTCCATAGTCCACAGATTTGTACCTCAAGGTTATTACACCCAATGGAGCTTCTGTTATATCAAATACTGTTCCATAAGCCCTCCGCATTGGCCTCCATTCACCGCGATCCGCCTGCATCAAACTCAGCAAAATCAATCACAAGTCGTTTTCTTAATTAATCCAAACAAGCATCCCCGCATGCATGCTCTATATATGCTTGACAAATTTTATTGTTTCAAAGCGTTCAATGCATTGTGTGGGCTAATTTCTCTTGCAGTGTGAGTATAAAGTTTTTTTTTTTTTTTTATCACTCTAGCCGTATTGGATATATGACATACATCCAAGCTTGTTAATGTAAAAAAAAAAAATAATAAATAAAATTTTAATGTATGAAAGATTAATTTCTTGATGAATTTGCTTGCTGTTCAAATACTCGAATATTTACCTGGAATATTTCGATAGCAATAATGTCGAAAGTACCAGGTTGGTACAATGGTACAATGGCCAAATATGCGGGGTACCTGCTCTGTGGCAGGACTAGGAATATAAACCTTCGATAATACAGACAAGGAACTCTCTTGAATTCTACACCAACTACACCGTAGGCAAAAAGATGTTGAGCCTTGTAAGGACGAGCCAAACTTTCGAAGGCAGCTTGACTGAGGATGAAATCTGTCTTGTCTCCTTCACCATAGTCAGTCACTACTACCCTGGTTCCCTCTTCACTACAGTCTTCTGGAATGGTGCATCTTACCTGAAATTCTCAACGAACATATATAAATATATATATATATATATATATACTCTCGTTAATGACCTTAATCAACAGGAAGGAAAATTAAGGGAAGTTTGAATTGCATCGTCATTATTGAGGCATGGATCAGTTTACATATATCTACTTGGTTTGCCAATTCAAATCAATAAATGAAAAAAGAAATTAATTTAAAAAAGGCCACATCACTTTCATGCACTCGTGAAATTAATTGCAATAATTGAACACATCAAATTGTATAATTAGATGTTGCTTTTTTAAGAGCAATGCATTTTTATTTGATTTCTAATCTAATTGGGTGAATTGCTTATTTATATAGGTGCTTGTTCTCCACACTTGATGGCTTATTATTGCCTTCAAACGTTAATGATGATACAAAAATGGCTAGGAAGACTTTACCCGATAGCATGCACCACATCCAGAGCCACCCCTATAAAGCCTGGACACTCCAGTAACCCGACCATCGTTGACAAATCTCCCATATTCACCGAACCCACAAGCTCCAGCTGATTAAATTAGTCCAATTTAAACAATTAAATTTCAAATTGATGAACCATAAATTCTGATTTTGCTAGGGGAAAAAAATCCTTCACAAGAGTGTTCAATATATATATAAACAGGTTTTGAACGCAGGACACAAGTAGCAATTTTGTAGTAACAAACATTCATGGCTTTTTTTTTTTTAAAGGATGATTATTCAGAACTAGAGGGAAAACGGAGATAATGATGAATTAAGTAACTCTAACTGGTTTAGCTACATTAGATAGTATACACCATTTATCTATGATAAGCATGAGCAGAAAATATTTGTGATATAGCCTAGAGGGGCTGGCAAATCACAAATGAATAAAATTAAAGAAACACGTACTTGGTGTCCCTAAGAAATCAGGGCGGCCATAATAGGTTGCTCTAGAGTAGTCTCCACCGTAGTAGCATAGTGCTGCGGGTAAGAGCACTGTGGTGCAAAGAAATGCTGCGTAGTAATAATTCATACTACTTCTAAAGCCCATAAATTAAAAAGTATCTATCTACTATAGCAAATTGAACTCAGTAAGTATGGAATAGTAGAACTGATAGAGATGAGGAATGGGAAGCTTAGAAACGAGGAGTCCATATTTATAGACTTAGTTTTTTTTTTTTTGGTTAGGTAAAAAGTTTCAAATCTGGAACGTCTTATTAACAATCTTTACCTCCATAACATCCAACTCATCCCCTCTCTCTCTTAGGGTGTGTTTGATTAAAATGAAGTTTGAAAACTGAAATCTAAAGTCTATTCTATTAAGTTACGAAATTGTTAACTACTAAATCTAATACATTTGAGTATATATCACATTAAATAATAAGTGAATAACTGATGACTTCATTTTTTTTTTTTCGGAACAAGTTTCATCTAAAAAATTCAGTGACACTTATTTAGATACTTTATTTTTAATAATCAAATGCATCTAAATAAATTAAGATCTAAATTCGTTAAATTTAAGTGCTGAATTGAGAAATTAAATAGGACCTAAAGTTGAATTGATCTTGGTAGGTAGGGTATGATTTTGTGATATTAATTTGAGGGTTTCTCTACTTGTTTTCTTTTTTCCTTCCTTCCACAATGGATTCTATGGGAATCCGAGTGTGTCAAGGATTGGATTGGGATTGGACGTGTACAACTCGGACCCGTCGTGGAGACCTTCTAACAATCTCCTTCTTCTATGATTTGTCTTCGTATATATAATTCGATATACCATGTGGAGTGATACTTTCAAGTGCGGGAAATACATGCATGCACTTTTACATTCTTACGTGCAATTAAAGTATGTACTGAAATCTTGCCCAATTTTGTTGTAATTCAGATTTTGCATATTTTGACAAATTTCTGGCATTTATAAAACGGTTAAGCAAGCTGGAAGAGAAATATGGATTTTGAGTCAAGTTAGCATTTGGCACAATTAACTGAGCATCAATTCTTGTACTTAAAACAATAACAAGGTGCAGACTAGCATGCAGTGTTTGGAAAAGTTCTAGGCTTCGAATCTTTTTCCTGCCTTATGAAATCCCTATCGAAGTTCTTTCGGATATATTTGACCCCCGATTAAAAGAAACAACATCATTAGTTTCTTCTATCCATTTTCCTTTTTACTGTGAAATCAGGAATTATAGAATTCTTTGCTTGCAGCAGTTTATTTGCCAGCAGTATTGCAATCTCAGCCAACGGCAACGGGTTGTTGAAAATCCTAGCATTCCATGCTTGTAGCTTACCCTTCTGTAGCCATCAACTTTTGGTTCCCCACAAACGTTATTTCATAATTCAGGTAAGTGAGAGGAAATTGCTGGGTAGTCTTAAGGCACCACTCACTCGGCCGCCGGCACTGGCGCATATTCACCGAGTCTTTTCCCTTCTTTTACTCCAATCGAAACGGTGCCTCAGATAGTTAACCTTCTGCTTTGTCAAGATGCAATAAATAATGGAGATATCTGTACCTGCTGATCCCATCATGGGCTAATCTTTTCTTTTAAAATCAAATGCAGTTTCAGCGCACTCTTTCGAGGAAGGTACTGTGATCCAATACGCACAAACTTAATTGGTCTGCGAAATGATTTAGCCATGGATCTTGACTGCTGACTAAGAAACTCTCCAATAAGTAACAAGTATTATGCGTAACTGGACATAGGTTCAGATCAACTTGCAGGAGCCTAGGACACTCATTCGCGATGGCTACCTGTGTATGTGCACGGGTCAAGGTTCCATGAACTGCCTTTTATGGTTGAGATGGGATATTTTAGAATTGGACAGTGGAAGTTAGATGGAGGACACTAATTTTAGTGGGTCAAACAATTTTATTGTATTTTTGATATATTAGTGTCTATATTTATTATATCAGTCTCTATATTTGTTATATCAGTGTTTAAGTCTCTTGAGTTAGTATTTGCTCTGTACCTGGTGGTGTCACAAGGAACCCTGATCCATAAATGCACTAGGTGTTACACCTGCATGTTTGGCTTAATTGCAAATTGCCCCCTTATAATGTTTGGCGAGTAGCAAGTTGCCACTTATAATTAGAAAACATGCAAATTGTACCTTGAAGATAAATGGTCGAACGCTTAGTTTATATTCTAGGTGTGAAAAAACAATTACGCTCTCACTTGCATAGTGCCTTGAGAGTTTCAGGTTAAGGGAATTATGTTATTATATTTTTCTTATTAAAAATCATTTTTTTTTATCTAGAAGATGAATACACAATTATAGACGTAAATAATTACAGACATTCCATGAAATATTTATACTGAATAAGTTTTTTAGTTACTTATGATAATTAATGTTATTTAAGTATTTTGTTCATTAGAAAATATTAATATGCATTGAAACACCGAAAGAAATTATTAATTGAAAGCAAAATGCTTTTATAAATATTTAATTTTCATTTGTAACAGAATACTTTTATACAAAAGGGGAATATACGTTAAACAGTTAAATGATATGAAGGTTATAAAATAATTCTATGCAACAGATGGTATCAGTTATCCCTGAATGAGTCGGAGGTGGGTTTGTAGTATTTCAGACTTGTTTATCCCTACAAAAAAAAAAAAAACTTTATTTTAGCAACTATATAACCCTACTCTCTCACTATAACATAATCCAAATTTTGGACTAATTTGTTCCAATTAATAATATAACAAAGTTTTGGGTTCATTTGCCCCTTCTAATAACACAACTAATTTGTCCCAGTTAATAACAAAACTAAATCTTGAATTAATTTGCCCCTACTAATAACAAAACTATATGTTTTTGACTAATATGCCCTACTCATAACATAACTAAATGGAATAATTTCAGAAATCTCCCTTGAGGTATTTAACAATTTCATTTAGCTTTTTCGAGCTTTTAAAAATTACACATACTTCCCTTATCATCTAAAATGACAATACTACTCTTAAATATTTTAATAAAATTCCCTTGTTTGGTATGCTTATACTTAGAATGACTTTTAAAATTATTTTTTGTTATTTTTTGTTCTTATTCATTTTTTTTTTGCCAATAAAATTGTAGAACTACTACTATTCCCTCTAGTTTCTATTGTAACCAAATGTCAAACTAGTAATTTTTTTGATGAGTTAACTTATATATAATCCAATGTTTTTACTAATCTTTTTTTCTATTTTTTTGGTATTAAAATTAACAATAAATCAAAAATAAATTGCCAAAAATCACTACTAAATTACGATAATCTCACTATTCAAAAAATTTATAAACTCTAAATGAATTATTTCAATATTTTCTTTTCTATCTTATAAATCTAAATCCATTATAAAATACCATCAAAAGTATCCTATCATAGTGATAAAATTATTATTAGAGTAAATCTGATATACACTGAAAGTGTATACACTATTACAATTGAATGCGTGATACATATGCAAAATTTGGGTTTCAAATTGAAATTTGAATAAATGATGAAAGTGTATACATTGTTAGTGTATAAAAGATTAATTCTTATTATTATAGTTATTTATCAAATAGTAGGTATGTACATGAAAATTTTGGCACATTTTTCTTATAATTATACTAGATAATCATATAATTGTACAGCAAAATGAATTAAAACTTATTAACAAGGACATTTTTTGGTATTCATTTAAAAATTTGACAAAAATTTGACCAAGTCAATATTATTTTAAGGCTTTGTTACTAAAACTATCAAATCAAGGGAGGTAGGTATAATTTGTCAAATCTTAGGGGAGATCAGTGAAATTATCAAAAACCTCAGGGGAGGTATCTGAAATTATCCCTAACTAAATTGCAAACTAATTTACCTCTATTAAAAGCAAAACTAATCTTTGGACTAATTTGCTCCTACTAATAACAAAATTAAATTTGGGATGAAAGGTCAAAAATAAGAAGCCAATCCTTATACTTGGAAAATTGAACTCTTTAGAGAAATTTAGCGATGTAACTAAACCTTATCTGAACATCAAAGCAATTGCCTTGGAAGATATCTGATTACCAGCAATGTGATTAACGTTGAATAAAGCATTAGCCCTGGAAGAATATGGGGTCCGTGGAAAAATACACTATCCACTTACTGGTGTTTAGTGCATCAAATTCCTCAACTCATGATTATGTGGAATTTCATTTAGCATATTGCTGAATGATCTCATGGTTACGCTGATGAGCTGCATATATAATGATGTCATAGCTGTTTCGTTACCACTTGTTACTGGTCTCTTCCCCCCTTGAATTTTACCAGATTCCTAACCAGCCATTTAAAACCTTTCTGATGCTGATGCTAAAAAGATGAGCAAATTCAGATATGATAGATGAGTCCTCGCTGGAGCAGTCTAGATAAAACAACTAAAGCTCTTGATCCAGCTGGAGGTGATAATATTGAACTTCTTTGAAGATGTACTCATTTTGATGAATATAGCCTGCAGCAGCAGGTGTTCAAATACCAAGTATAAATTCAAACAAACAACAGGACTTTTGTGCCTGGAGAAGGCTCTAATGCTTAAATCAGCACTGAGATCAGTATTTAGACTTCGGAAAATTGATTCAGATATATAAGTAGTAATTTGTATTAAGAGAGTGTAGAATGGAATAAATGACCTTGCATTTAACTATTTATGCTGGTATTAAAGCTAACGGATTTTTTTACTGAGTTTCGTCTCCAATAATGTTACCTGCTGCCGCGCAACATTTAAGTGCATCTAAAGAAAAAGACAAAGAGGTTGTCTAAATTGTAATTTTTTAAGAGATTCTGAGGAAATATTAGCGTAGCACATTTTAAAGTGTGATGTATATAAAATAAAAAGTGGTTGAAAAATATACAAAAGAAATATTCTCAGAAAATGTAAAATTTTTTTGCCAATAGGTAGCTAAGCCCTTCAACTGCCTTGCTCTAGCACGACATTCTGGATCTACAGGTAAAATTGTAGGACCTCTGGACACTTCGAGTTTGAATCCTTGTTGCGAGGTGGAGCACGTTAAACCTTTGTTTCTTGCAAGTTGAGCTTGTAATCACTCAAG